TCTCCACGGACAGGACCACCACGCTTGGGATCTTTTGCTCTAGGGACATCATCTCAAGACAAGACAGACGTCAGTTAAACTGTCGGATGGCTTCCACCACACTTTGTGTCCTGCTGCAAAGATAACTGTTGTCAGAACTACCGTGTCCCTTCCCTCTGTCTCCTGCCTGAAATAAGGTCACAGTGGTTCCTCACCCTGTGGCCTGCCCTTCTCAGGTGCCCGCAGGCCTCGGCGTGTCTTCCTGAGTGATTTTCTCTGCGTGTGCGCAGACACGCAGTGGTGTTGTTACCAGTGTAAAGGGGGTCATTTGATGAAGATGGAACTCTTCTGCAGAGGGCACTTTCTGTGTTTTTTTAACTGAATAATCTGTCAGGGCAGTGTTTTCATGGAGGGTGATTTAAATCATCCCGAGAGGCTTTCTGTGGGCTAAGAAGACAGCTGAGATGACTTTTAATTAAATGCCTGTTTTATGTCCGGGGATTTCATGGTCAGCTGTGGTCCACTTGGGACAGCTGATGTGTGTCTGGGCTGTGTGAGCACCTTCTCTGTGCCTCCCTCATGCCCCTCAGCTCCCCTCAGGCTGTGCACCAGGTGGCAACCTCACCACGCTGTGGGCTCTACGGGGCAGCACTCACACCTTGCTCAGCATGGTGTCCCCAGGGCACAGGGCCTGGCCTCTGTAGGGTGGTGTTGATGGGAAGGGGAACAGATGGTGGGGTCAGGTCAGAAGAAGCAGTATACATGCTTACAACGGTCACTGTGTGGACACGGATGCACCAGTGGGCATGGAAATGGCGCAGGACCATGAGGTGGACCCGAGTGAACAAGTGGTCACGAAGACGACGCAGAACCGTGACGGTGGATGCGGAGACAACAGTCACGGACACGGCACAGCACTGGGCAGCGCTGGGTTCTGGGCTTCATCAGTCACCTGAGTCAGCTGACTCACAGCAACTCACAGCACAGCTAAGTGCAGGATAGCCGTAGTAGATGCACGCTGACTCACTTTCTGCTGAAGCAGGCTGGTTGCAGTTCAGTTATTGGTAGCAGTGCACGTGGCTTGCTGGTCACCTGAGAGAGGCCTGCCCT